TCTAAACTGGTCATTCCATATTTCCTTCTCTCTTCCTCTTATTTTGCCCCTCTGCAAGAAGTAGACTTCCATATGTGAGAAGACATAGGGTCAGAAGAAGGATTAATAAACCACCCAGACTGCATGAAGCATTCTGTATCTCAGCATACTTTGGAGAATGCTATCAATTTCATGTCAGAACATGACAATAACAACTGTCAGTAAGAGCTGTAAATAATAAAGTATCTGGTAAGAGAAAGTTACTGAAGACTTGTGAGCAAAAACTGAAACTCTTGGCTTTCTAGCAGAGCACAAGTACTCTACTAACTCTGCATTGGTAGAGTGAAGATGTGCTCAGATAGGAATAAATAAGGTATGGAATACCTAAAGGCCAAATTTTGAGATGCGGTATTACATCTGTCTCCTTTTGACAACAATCAGAAATGGAGGTGGTTCAGCACATCGCAGGATTTTTCAAAGGCAGACCTGGCAGTAGCATTTTTAGATTTCAATGCTTCAGACATAATCTTAATTTCACATCAAGAAATGCATCTGCAATTAATTTAACTTTAGTCATCATGTATAATCAACAAATAATTATACACACAGACTGCTCAGACTGCTGGTTGTGTGCTCTTTGGTGTTTGCACAGAATTGCTGTGGTGCACATGTGCACACAGTTCAAGTCAAAGTTACAACAGCATATTGACCATTATGTTTGCATTTTTACTATGATACATCTTTCCAAAGTTCCACATAAACCAATTTTCGAACTGTAATGCAAAAATAATTTTTGAAAGACCAGCATAATAAAGTACTATTTCTATTTCCAGAGGAAGCCACATTGTTTACAGAGTTTTGCAAAATTTCAAGACGTCGTGACTTTAACATTAACACGGACTTCACAAATACTATTCAAAACCTTCTTCCCAGACAACAGAAAATTGCCAGTATTTCAATGTAAATCACAGCTTCCACAACACCTCTATAAAAAGATCTGGGAAGAAACACAGTAGCATATTTAGCATCCTTCACCTAGCATTACATGCATGTTGGAGTACTCATATACAAGTCAGTTCTCTATGACAATACTCAGTCCCCCATAGCAAAATTACAAAAACATCAGTGAGGGGAGAAAAAACTCGGAACCATAAATAATTTATAATTTTGTACTTTTAAAATAAAATCTCACTTTAATTTAGGAATTTGATAGCATATTCCTGTGCTTTCAGACTAATCAGAGAATCATATTTGCACATCATTTGTATTTATGTACGCCTGAAAACCACTCTATGGGTTGCGTTACCACAAAAAAAAAGTAAAAAAGTAAACAGACAAGGCATAGCAGATTAGATATTATAAACTTAAATAAGTAATTTTCAGTATTTTAACTTTTGTATTTCATAAAATCCATTGTATGGATGCTCACAAAATTAATCTGAATATTTGCATCAATATTTAGTGAGATTATGGGAAATGCCACTTTCCTATAGATAAAATTAATACACATCCTTAATGAATTCACTACATACAAGGTATTTTTTCTTAATTTGCATCAAATGGGAAAAAAGACAATAGCATCTATAAATATGAAAATAGATAGAGATGAAGTCAACAGTAATTTTCTGGCACAAAATAAAAGCAAAGTCAATGTAATTGTAAAGATGAATGTGTATTTTTCAGAAGAATTAATAATGGTATGAATCCCACTGCAATGGATTGCAAATAACTTCAGCTGAATAAAATTGCATGACATGGGATTTACTTATTCTCTATGTTCACAGAAACAACTTGTTCTCTGACAGCACTCATTCTTGGCAATTTATTGCACCTGTCAGCAGCCCATTTGTTCAGATTAGTGCTATGCATAAAGGTGTAACAGTCATGAGGATTTATTAACTGATAATCGTAAAGGTGACAGTCAGAATTGCCTTCAAAAATATAAATGATAAGAAAGCTAAATTATTACACGATGATTAAAATCATCTTCATTTTGATCTTAGTATTACCTACATACACTTACTGCAGTACGTTTTTAATCACAGGACCATACTGACTCAACATAGAACATAAATTATTTGCTCATAGCAAAAATGTGAATATTAAATATATTCACTGAAAATATATACACATACGTATATACTTCATACGTATTACTTATCAGATGTAGCAATAACCAATGCCACTTATGCAAGTCTATACATTTCTTAAATGCAAGAAGGCAGCCCATGTGGCTTTAGCACCTGGTGCCTTCCATAGAAAGAAATTCTAGACCTAATTTTTTGGTCCTGGAATGTTGATTATTTTTCAAAAAACTGTATTCAGCATAAAAAGAACTTCTAGACCTTATTTCTTGGTCCTGGAATGTTGATTGTTTTTCAATAAACTGTATTCAGTAGGATGGAAGAATTAATATCCTGTAAAATGCAGCTCAGTTCTAGTCAAGTATAGTGTTTTCTCATACAAATCAGCACACGATTGGAAATACATTTTTGTCAAAGCTCTTGTATGAGGTCTTTTCCCAGGCTTTTGAAATACTGAAATACGGAAATAAACACTGAATTCGTTGTAAGGTTTGGGGCTTTTTAGAATATTCTGAGAAGAAAGTTCATAGGGTGCTACAACCTTTAAACTCTCATGAAGATTGCACATAACTGAAATTCAAATATATTTTATTAACAAAATGCTCCAAGTTAAGAATGGAAATCAATCAGTCAGCATTTCATTTCAGACACTGACATACTCAGCATGCCTGGGCATCAAGAAGAAGACAGAGTTGCATGCTACTTCTGTGACAGACGTCTCCTTTCACTTTTCTGAACTAGGGTGTCATGCTGTCACTCACCCTTTTAACACCTTCCTCCCTCTTACAGGCAGACCTTACAAGCCATATCTTCCACTTCCAATTTCACCACCCAAAAACCAGAATCTCACATCCATAATCCACTTCAACCTTCTTGGACATCTTTCCTGTATTTTTCTGCCCTCAGAAATGGATTGCAAGTCCAACTCCTTGCATCATTGCTACCATGTCACATTCCCAGCTTTCACCTGCCCTTACTGTGCTCCAGGCTAACAAGGACAATAATATACAAGGGCCACAGAAGCCTATGTTCTTGATTTCCCACTACTTCTATTTCACAAAAGTGCAGCTGAGACATGATATCATTCCGGGAGAATTTACATCATTCTGGTTCTGAATAGAATTTGCAAGTAACGGAGCTTAGAACAGAAAAAACACAGGTTTTCTGTGTTATTTTGCAGGAAGATCCTGGAATTTTTCCCTTCTACCTTCCACCTGGGAAACCTTTTCTCAGTTTGGTCAGTGCTTCAATCTAATGTGCCTTCTCCCTAGGCATATTTTGTCCAGGCAGGACATCTTCAAGAAACAGTTGTTTTCATTTGTATTTAATAGAAATATTCTTATATAACATTACAGCTGCGCCTTGCACATTATTCAAGCAAGCAGGAAGATCCTCAGCAAGATGAAATGGATTACCCTTCATTCTTGAGCAACGGTAGAACGCTACCAGGAAGTCTTTTGTTTCCCTCCCACAGCCTCATTATCACTTCTTCTGGAACCTGAATCAAGATATTCAACTTATTATGAGTATCTTGAAAGCCATAGAGCTTTAGTAATTGAGCACGACTCAGTTGTGCTTTTAAAAATTAATACACACTTACCATAACACATGCATAGAGCAAGTCTGTAGTGTGTGCACCAAAATATTTCCAGCTTTTAGGGACAGCCTTGAAAGGAGAAACTGGGGAAGAGAGGTCAGCATTAAGTGGAGCTGTCAGGTGTTGGTGATTTTTATCTGCAGTGACTGGAAAAGAATATCAGGGAGGGGGAATATTAAGACCTATTTTCATATTCAGATTGAGCTTGACAAATGACAGTTTTTCATGGAAATCTCCTTGGAGAAGAATTTTTTTGCAGGTTACATTAGCAGAGATACGGTACCAACAGAAGGTGAAATGAGAGAGTGTCTGCAAGGACAAACTGAAGAGGGATTATATGTACACTGACAGAGGGGTCAAAAAAATCAAGAGCAGCAAGATTTCAGCAAGTGGTGCTTGGATGACGATACTGTGAAAAATCACTCATGAAAACTTTGTATCTCACCAGATTTTCTTAAGAAGGTTAGAATGAAAAAGAAAACTGGAATAATTTCCAAGGTATATAACATGTACATAGGACTAAATTAGTACATTACTGCAGAAAAATATTGATAATTATCATACCGTAATATGTGAAAGTGATAGTGAAGGCACCTCCAATAAAAACAATCAAAATATATGGGATTAATAATTATTAATTAGTAACACTATTATTATGACTGTGTGGATATCAAGGAAAATATGAAGTAAACAAATATCTGAGCTTTCCAAACAGCACCTAGTTTTTTAGTAGCTATAAGCACAAGACATTTTTTGCCCTATCAGCTAACTGCTAATGCCACCTCCTCTTTGGTAAAATGGAGCACAGCCATACAAATATAAGCTATTTCTTGAACTCCCAGACAGATTCACTTCTCCTGAATGTGAATTAGGTGAATGATTCTTTGTCCCCAAATACGTGTGTAGTCCTTCAACTCTGTTTTCATTTACCAAAAAGATTGGTACATAAATTTGGTCTTATGCATCAAGTCAAGAGTTATTTCTCCTCCAAGCTGGATTTTGCTATATGGAACCCCCTGCACCTTGGTAATTGCCCTAAACATGGGACTTTTATATTTGAAAACCTCAGTCTATCAATTGGTAAAAGCTGCCACCTACTGGTCAATAAAAATTATATTATCATCAATACAGAAATGCAGCAAATTTTACTGGAACATTGCAGAAAATCCTCCCTGAACTTAAAAAAAAAAAAAAAAAAACCAAAAAAAAAACCAACAAAAAAACCCCAAGAAACCAAGAACAAATGGTCATAAGAAACAGTTTCAATGGCAAAGCTCATTTTAATAATCCTCTCTCATGGACTTCTCCCTGCGGACCAAGAAGGCTAAAATTGCACAAACCTGCCAATGAAATCATCCTTTTTGCCAACATCTTTGTCCCACACGGTAATATCAATAATTCCACCTCGTTCTTCATAGAGATGAAAGTCAAACTGCTCCCTCCACTGAGGATTCAAAGTTTTTGGAACAATCTAAAAGGAAAATAAAAAGAACTTCGTATTACATTGTGTAGGCATACACTTTCTTAAATTGTAAATTTGATCATTAAAGTCTGTTCAAGAAGCTTTTTCTCTCTGCAATATCAATATCTAAAGCAGTGAGAATTTTAAAATGGTAATTGGGAAAGACTACTAGTCAGTTCTCTCATGCCTCTCTGATGTAGCAGCAATCTCCAAAATCCTGCAACTTGTCACCTTCAAAAGCCTCCTGAACAAAGAATTTGTCCTGGGAATGGAGCCATTTCTCTGTAGAAAAATTATGTCCTCTGTGAAGTGACAGTTAGCTATAAAGTTATGTTTCTGAGCCCAAAGGTAAACAAAGCACCTGCAATGATACATAGATGGTGACTGTAAGTACTTAAACAAACAATTGTATCATGTCCTTTTTTCCCAGCTCTAATAATATTGGGAAAAACATGATACTATGGCTTACTTTCTATGGAATAAAATAGTTGACTTCCAAAACTATATTTTACTTCCTTTCCTTTGAAACTCTGATTAAAGCAGCTTTTTTAAAAATTTCGCTCCAAATTTTCTACTGTAATGCAAAAGCAGTATTCACTGTTCTGAGCAAGAATAGAAGACTCCTAATATCTTCCCTATTTAGCAAACACTACTCCCCACAACCACCAGTTCTACTGGCTTGGAAAAAAAGAAAATTCAGAAAGTATTATGAAAATATGTAATTCACAAAAGCATGACATTTTATTTCTTCTCATTTCAGATTTAGAGGCCCTAATGCAGGCTCAGAGGTCTAAAAATATGACAAGAAAATGTTCCTGCCCTCTTCCTCAATTTACCCTTCATCTGGCCATGAAAACCACCGTGACTGTCATGGCCATGGAGAGAGGAAGGTCATGTGCATCATTGACAGTCCCAGTATCTCTCCTGAAAACAGCAATTTTCAAAATGGCAGGGACCAAAAGAAAAAAAAGTAGCAACAAAGTCTTCACAATAATTATCTCCCGTCTACCTGTGAAACTCATACATGAAGAAAACTTTAATGAAACTTGTTGTTAAGGACAAGAAGAGGAAAGTGAGCTTATGAACATGACATGGTTTGAGGATAAGACAATGCAAAGAATCCAAAGAGGCACCCAGTATCAAGCCAGGCAGACCTTATCAGAATCACTCTGCATCTCCTCCCTGCCATGAATGACCCCTCACAGTAAATAAAAGCCAACACAACTCCTGTATGGAACATTAGGTGTGTCCCCCTGCAAGCTCACATTTTTCAGTGCAACATATTTTCCCATCTAGTACTACTTTTGTTTATAAAGAAACAAAAATAAACATTTAAACAAAGCTCCAGGGGCTCTGACAGGTAATTATTACAACAACAAATCTTCATCACCATTGAAAGTCATACAAGCTAAAAACACCAAACAGGAACAAAGCATTTAAAAAAAAAAATTGGTTACATCTAAAATTACCTTGCTCTTGTACTTCTGATGCCCCAAACGAAACTTCACATAAGGATCGCTGAGCCCATTTGCATCCATCGCCTTAAGTTCACGACCTTCTATTAAGGTAACACTAACTATCCCTCTCCATAACTGAGACTTTCTGTGCAGGTCTGAGAGACGTAAGCTCTGGGTCTGAAACTTTATGGAAACAAAAGAATAGATTTAGTTAACACAATTCCAAAAATTTCCCCTGCTTTTAATGTTCTGTTTCATGTAACTATGAAATAAATCAACCACTAAAGACATTTTGAAGCTATTTGGACAATATATATGCAAACTATATTGCAAATAATTATTTGGAGAGTAATAAAACTGCGACAATTACATGGGAAATGTCATATGCTGCTTTTACAGAAACAAGCAGAACAAATACTGCCCAAAGAAAGGTTCATTTTTAAGAAAGAGGTTTCTTTCTGCTTCACTTCTTCTTCTGCTGATAGACTAAAAATAAATGTTAAAAAGTCTCTTCTATTAGTAGCATAGATTGAATGAACTTGAACAAGCTCCATATTTTTAAACATAAAGCCCTGTTGAGAATATAATCTTCCCTTAGAATAACATAATATAAACCCACCATGAAAAATATGTATCAAGGAAAAATAATTCAATAAACTCCTCTATCTCTGCCTCTGAAATGATGTGGTATTCTCAGAAACATGAATTGAGTACCACCATGTAAGTTCAAGAGTTTGGAAAGAACAAAACCTCTGTTCAGAATTGTGTAGAGGCTTGTGGACTTGTGAACCCTCAGCCACTGATTCTGGGTGTCAAAATAAGATTCACACACATAAACCAGGCAACTACAGCTTTCGTCAATGAACTCCACTGGAGATTTGAGAGCAGGAGGATATAAACTTGAGTAACTTAAGATCATTTCCAGTTTGCTCTGAGCTACAGTGGGTACAAGGTCCCAGAACTGGGGAATCTCCTTTGCACTCCTACGGAAGACAAATGTGCCTTGAGTGCATCCAAGAAGCAATGTTGGTAAAGGCTCTCCCTTCTATTCTGAAACTTTATTCATTAAATGCTACCTATCTATAATCAGAACACTAGATAGCTAAACTATATTTTAACTTGCAAATTATTTTCTCTAGGAATGAAATAAAGGAGGACTGCATGTATACTCTGCTGTAAATATAACTTTATTATGTAATGTAGTTTGAGCAACAAAGGCTTTGTGGGCTCAGCAACCTGCACACATGCAGGCCTTGTATGCCTGGCTTCATCCCTCACAGACCTCCACTATCTCTGTAAGAGGGTTTCAGCGCAGGTTTGGTTTTAGTCTTTTAGACAGTAAACTCAGCTGGATGGCTACAGCGATGCAGGTGCCCAGGACAGGGGTTTTACTCTATTACCCAGAGACAACGATAGAGATCAGACTGGATTATAATCACACTCACCCAGGCTCCAGCGAGAATAGACATGAGAGCTGTGGCCACTGGGCTTGGAGCAAATATTATTAACATACTTTTTGAAGTATTTCAGGTATTTTTTGGCATGCATTTGTGTTTTCTAATGGTTATTCACTCCAAGTATTATGGCTATTCTCAAAATATTTCACTATATTTATTAAAGGTTTCTCTTCCTGAAGTGAAGGATTTGACTGCAGAGAAACTTTTCACAAACTTGCTGTTTCTACAAAGACAAACAAGGAACTGCATGTGGAATTATCTTGAATTTATCCTGCAACATGTAGCAGCAGTGGGACATCAGATAGCAGACCCTTTACAAAAATTAGGGCAGAATTGGGAAAATCAGTTGCCAGAAGAGATTTCACTTATAACTTGGGAGCATTATATAAACTTTTTCTCAGCACAAATACACCTCTCATTGAGGGAATACTGTCAATATTGCCAATAACTTGATTTGTAAAGAAGTGGTAAATTTTTTTTATTGTTCCAGTTTCTTAGAAGGCTTAGAGCAAAACAAAGACTGGTTAATAACTGGCTCTGCCCTGAACACAAGATGATGAGAGATACAGAAAGAAGACCAGACATGCTTAGGAAGGTATTTAATATTGGGATGTAACCAGTGGTTGAGACTTCTTCTGCAAAGAATATACAGTTCTTGGGGGTGTTTTAAGAGCTAAATGGGTATCTATATGATTTCCAGAAGTCTATCATGAACTTGCATTTACAACTCTTTTGAAGTAAATCTTAAGCACACTGCATAGCTCTCTACTTAGTGAGACAGTGCAAAATTTAGAGAGTATACTTGACCTCAATTTGTTATTTTCAGCAGCTCTTATAACAATTTGCTGCACTAGATCTGCCCCATCATCAAGCAAGATGATTTTTTTTCTGACCAGTCAGGAGTTTCATCAGTGGGGGTAATGTCCATACAAGGTAGCAAGGTAAGATCTAGATGACCAAGAGCTGGGTGTAAAATGACAGACAGGAGTTTACAAGAGTCAGGCAGGAGGCTGGAGAACAAGAGTTCATGTGGTGCAGGAGGAAGCCCTTCCAGGTCACAGCCACATCTTGCAGACAATGACAATCAAAGCTTTATGCAGACCCTAGCAGAATCTTGACTGACACTGAAGTTCCAGAGACTGTCTTGCCATGCTGGAAGAAAAGCAGACAGCTGCTAAAAATAGGTATTGGTTGGTTGTGGCTGTTTCTTCCTCAAGGTAGTGAATGTAGACCACAGCAGTGCTTGTTTCTGTATTTATTGGTAACACACAGATACATGGAACAGCAAAAGGGAGGGGTATTGAAAGAGTCAGAGCATAGCTCACTGAAGCTACAGCATTGAGATTTCCTGGACATGAAAAGCATAGTCTATGTGGCTTTCTCCAACAAGAAAAACTTCCAGCTGGCCCTTTTCTTGTTTCTAAGCAAGACTGAAGAGAATCCAACATGCTTTTCTTCCAGTCAAAACCCCACTTATTCTCAGAAATTACAGATAATTTACTAACATAACCTCTTTTTTCATATAATGATTATTGTAGGAAGAAAAACAGAAAAAGAATGTTCAGATTTCAAGTCAAATATGACAAAAAGATAGCTGAAAAAAATGGGAAAGTAAGACTGATTTTCACATTCTTTCCTTATGAATTTAATTTCACAGTGTGAGACAGGCACATTTCTAGGTACATTTAGGTATCTAAGAAACTTGTAAAATCCAGCCCACAGTGAGATACAAATTCAGAAAGGTAACCATGAGAATAAAACAATGAAATGAGCATGTATCTTTCTCAATTTCTCCTTTGAAGGACTGTTTCTCAAGACTTATCCTTAGGCACCTTGTTTCCCTCAGAAAGCATGTAGTGAGTATTACAGCCTAGATTCACTCTTGTGCCACAAACAGGAAAAAAAAGAAGAAACTGCACAGATTTCATTTGTCTGTAAATAGGTGGGAATTTACAAATTTCATATAAAATTTCACAATTTGGAAAGAAGCAAGATCAAAATCTCAGTCCACAACCGTCATTAATGTAGGACTATTGTTTACATTATTCACATTTTTGTGCAGGATACAGGCGTAGTGACTCCCATCTGACATGTCCTGAACCCCCCAAAGAGAGGGGATGGTGGGTAAGTTGCAGCCTGCATGCTATGAAGTTTTCTCCCTGTCTCTTTTTCCAAAAGGAAATTTAAATTTGACTTCTGAAAAGGAGTCTTTCATGCCAAAGGATGCTCAAGGCTACCTGTGAGAGAAAAATCCACATATTTTCATATCCACACACTGCTTTAATGCTTGATAAACAGCAAGCAAACCCAGCACTTTCTGATGTGAAAAAACAGTTTTTATTTGTGTTCCACCTATTCTGTGGAAATGTGATGTAGTGGGTGAGCTAGGGGCAGAAAAAGAACCTTCTGACAAAACTGCACCCTCTGCTAGATGTGATTAATACAGCTATGCAAATGTCAGAACTGAGAGATGATCTAATAAACATGACTTAATATTCTATATGCGTTCAGGTATTTCTGGATAACATTAAAGGATGGGAAACCAACAAGGCTTAGTCAGAATCCGGGCATTGATCCCAGGATAATCAATACCACATTGTTGATGAGCTATTGTTATTTTTGTCAAAAGAAGAGATGCACTTTGTTGGTATTTTTTAAAATCCCCTCATATTTTTGTTTATCTTTGGGTAGCTAAGTGTCCTCTGAAACTTTAGTCCATGTCAAGTGGGAGAAACCCCACACACTGTCTTCTCACAGCCCAATTTCATTTCTTCATTGATTAGCCCTCATGCCCTGCAAAGTACCACCTTTCTCACAGGTATGTGCTTGTACAAACAGACTCTCCTTTTATTAAATCTCCTCCTTATTACATGCACCCCTAAGACACACTGCTCCTCTGAGTCCTGGGACACAATAGACAGAAATAGAAAAGTCTACCACAAACTTATTAATTTTTTTTAAAAAGCAAATCAATAATGCACTTATATGACCTGCAGAGGCACTTCAATCCAAAAAGTAACTTTGGCTTCAAAGCTGAAAGAAATATCAATCAAGAAAGTAGTGAAAAAATATAGAAAAGAAAAATACTTCTCTCCACCACTTAACAGAGCACAGATATAGAAATACAGCAAAGTGATTCAAAGTCAGTGTTGCAAATTACTGCTGTAATTCATGTAAAGAGAATTCCTCTCCCCCCAGTTTCTAGGATGCTCTTCAGACCCTGGATAAACAATGTAAAATAAAGATTGAGAATTTCAGTAGATACAACTGCTAGCTTTATCTACAAAACAATGAAAAAATCAAGAGACGGTCACATGCATTTGCAGTGCTTTTCCTATATTAGAAGTGACAAAAAATATGACCTGAAAAGTCTACTCTATGTAGTTCTTATACTGAGTGTCAGAACAGAGTTTGAACTGGATTGAAATATTTTTACATTATCACAATGCAAATTATATAAAGTAATAATTTAAAATATCCCCACATGGTTTTCTGATTATACTAGAGTTCTAAACTTACAACATTACACATTACAATATGTAATAGCTGCAGTCAAGAATGTTAAGAAGTAGACCTTCTCAAACCTTGAGATCCAGCTGTGTGTTTCCTGAAGAGTGTTTGGTGAGGGGAAAAGAGGCTGGGGTCAGCCTGTGTCCTCAGTCAGCCTTTTCAGGTTCTGAGAGAACACCTTGCATTACAATTGATTTCTCATTCTCCTTCTACTAT